AATCCATACATGTTAAAGTTGTCAAGCTTGAGCAACACGGATAAAGATGTACATAGGTATACACCAGTGTCCATGTAGGCACATAGGTGTGTCTAAGCAGTGCACATGTTAATGAAAGTTATCCGGCCTTCAAGGGGAAGGAGAAATGTAAGGATCCAAATGCACGTTCAAGACCAGAACTTGTTCTAGGTCAGCGTGGCTGGCAGTGCCCTTGCTCACTTGCAAGGAGCAGCTGAAGAAGAGGAGACAAACCATTATAGAAATGAATAATTAACCCAGATCCTGACCGATACGATTTGCCATCTCGCTGGACCAGGAAGGGGGCCCACTGGTTCAAATGCATGGATGTTTTCCCAAATAGCGAAATAAAGTCAATCGGTGAGTCAGATGGGTGGTTTCTAAATTTGATAATAAAGAAATAAAAATAAATATGTTCAGATGGTCCTCGGCTTACAATCGTAATGGAGTCTGCCCATTATGGATCCTGGTCATAAAGTACCTTTGTGTGTGGGGGGAGTCCGTCGTAACTTCAAACGGTCGCAGGCTGATGGCTGCGTGTACTGAACTTCCATGGCTATGTGTGTGTATGTCTCTCTCCAGCTGTGCCTGAACTCTTGGCTGAAAGGGGGGACCGATCCAAACTCAACCCCTCTCACTTGAGCTGGGAAGACGGCAGAGACCCCCACAGGAGAGACCAGGAATAATGAAACCCCCTTTGTTGGCAGAAGAAGCTGAATACTCACAAATGCACATTGGAGGGTGGTGGAGGAATTAGCAGCAGGAAACTGGAAGAACGGCCCCTTTTCCTAGTTTTAGTTGACCTTCCCTGTAGGCCAGGACTGGATCTTCTTCCCAAGGAACCTTAAATCCATAAAGGGAAAGAGCCAGCATAAGACCTGACAAGCATCAGGGAACCAGACACCTCTGGGGAACCAGGTGTCCGGATCAAGGTGCTCACACAGGGTGGGGGCGGGAAGATGCCAGGAGCCCCCTGAAGTAGCCAATAGGAGCCGGGCAGACCCCAGCTTCTGAGCACATCAGCAACTATGTCATAAAGGATATTTCAGGTGGAACAAGAGGGAAAAGACCACTTTCAAACTGAAACAGCCAGGAAAACTTTATGCTGCATTCGAATGGGAATGAGATGCCATTTCATGGAGGACAGAGGAGAAGAGAATTAGCCACAGTTCAAGGCAAGATAGGAGTTAAGGTAGGTCTTTGTTTACTGAAGCTAACAAAAAGATTGCATGAAATTTAGACTATTTGAAGTTTCTCTATTTCTCTATGGAAAATAGGGTAATTGGTTCCAGACAGACGTAAACTGGGAAGAAAAATATTGAATATAATATGGTATATGAATCATAATGAAACATCTCAGTAACGAATAACAAGAACGTCCTTAAAAGAACTTAAATGTATAGTTAAAACCACAACTGTACACACAAAAGCCTTAACTGCACACACAAAAGCCTGACATTAATTGAATTTTGGGTCACATGAAACACAAGCTGGTAACCATTTAAAGTTCACACTAAATTGAACATTGCACAATATTCTCACACATATAATGCTGACTCTACTAGAAACACAGAGAAGTCAAGAAGGATGAGTTTCTTCAATCACACAAGAACTCTGCTTGCTCCACTGTGGAACCTTTATGAAGAATGCTTGAAGGAGGAGACTGCCAAAGAGGCTGGACAAGGATCCAGGATCCAAGAGGTCTCAGCTCCAGAATGGATTATTTGTAGCTCAAGGCTGAACTGCTGGGTCTTTGGTGCTCTCTGGGCTTGGTGGTTTCTTTGCAGATGTTTCATTACCCAATTAGTGACCAGCATCACTGCTGACAATGTCACCTAGAACTGATAATGTTACTTAGTTGGGTAATGAAACATCTGCAAGAAAACCATCAAGCTCAGAGGACACCAAGGTCCCCACACCAGCTCTGGCCAAAGAGCCCCTTGTTGTCTCAGTGCATCGAGCTTCTCATCCCTCCATCAGTTGAGAGGGAACCTCATCCATTCCTGGGCTGGACTAAGGCTGTCAATCAAAGAAGGGATCTCCTAGGAAGCATTAAGCCTTCTTTCTAGATCCTTCATCCACCACCTCCGTATCCAACCCTCAGGGAGGAGGCTGGGAAAGGGCTTTGACCGTCGGTAAATAAAGGCAGCTTCTGTGCTGTGGACCTCTCGCCTGTGTTTCATCTCCCAGGGTGGGAACCAACCACTCAGGGACACTTCAAAGTCCCAGCAATCTACAGCTGCCTTTTTTGACAGCTGCTAGAAGACTTTGTTGGTGTTTCCTTTTAACTGGATAGTAAAAATTGTATTTAAGTCTTCAGAATTTTTAGATTATCTTCAGGCCTTAGAGCAGTGGTGGCGAACCTATGGCACGCGTGCCAGAGGCGGCACTCAGAGCCCTCTCTGTGGGCACGCGCGCCATGCCCCGGAGATGGCAACTGTCCCTCTTCAACCAGCCGCCCGCTAACTCACCGGGGTCCCACATGGCCGGATGCATCCCAGCACCCATGCGCTCACTGGCCTCTGTGTGCAGGGGGCGATGGTGTCAGGCAGCAGCCGCCCCGGCCCCTGCCTCACCTTTCCCTGTGACAATGGCACCCCCGCCATGCCTCGCCTCACCCTGCAGGATGAGCCTCCTGCCCACCGCCCCACCTGCCAGAGACCCCCTGGATCTCCCCCAACCCTGCCCGGCCCCCACAGACATCCCTCCCCACGAGCAACATCGAGGTGATCATGCCCACCTTGGCCACACCCACCCAATCTGCCATGACCACCAGAGCCATGCCCACCCAGTGGGCCACGCCCACCTGGCACCCGGTGATAAATAAGTGGGTTTTGGGTTGCAGTTTGGGCACTCGGTCTCTAAAAGGTTCGCCATCACTGCCTTAGAGTGCTCTGTGATAGCCACTGGTGTGATGCTTGTGTGACCCTCCATCATGAGCACTTTAAAGTAAACTACACACACACTAGCCCAGTGGTTCTCAACCTTTTTAATACCGCTACCCCAACCGGTCGTAAGTCGAGGACTAAACCGGTCATAAGTCGAGGACTAAACCGGTCGTAAGTCGAGGACTACCCAACCGGTCGTAAGTCGAGGACTTTCCCTGCCCGGGAGCACCGCGCATGCGTGGTTCCGCCCCCTGCGCCGGCCGAGGTGTAGCTGGCAAGCGGCAGAGACGGAGCAGGCCGACCACCAGCTGGCCCAGCCCAAGGGAGGGAAGGCACCCGCCGGAAAAGGGGGGGAAAATGGCGGAGAAAAAAAATGGCGGACAGCCTTGCTTGGCGACCCCCATGAAATGGTCGATCGACCCCAAATGGGATCCCGACCCACAGGTTGAGAACCACTGCACTAGCCTCACATTGAGTGAATTTTGGGTTGCATGAAACCCAACCTGCTATCAATTTACCATTCGCACTGAACTGATTACATCATTCAAAGTTGCACTTCCTGTAACCTACGATGTGTTTCCTAAGATGTGGTTCAATTAATCACGACTGTGTCAGGCACCTGAAGGTAGGTGCCAATGATCTGCCCTTAAGAGCACTTCTGCCCCTTCCCACCAGAGGAAACGTTCTCCCATTCTGGGCCCAAGAAGCAGTGGAGCTGCAGGCCTCATTATTAGGGCCGTCCCGCCTCCCAGAATGGGAAGGGGGAGAAAGAGGAGTTGCTCTCCCCCCCCACTTGCAAAAACGCTCAATTTTCCATTCTCCAGTCCCACTTTTGGACAAGAAGTTTCCGTGCAGTTCGCAAGGAAAGGAAAAGGGGGGGGAGAGGAAATGGAGGAGAGAAAGCCAGCAAAAGTGTGGAGTTGCTCCCCCCCCCCCCCGTTTTCCCTGCATGGGTGAGTTTGGATGAAAGATTGCATAAAGGCATCGTAAGAGTTGTGGGGTCCTTGGGGCCCTCTGAGGTTATTTCTTCATTGCTGCCCTGATGGTAGTTTGGGTCAGGGGTCTTCAAACTTGGCCCTTTTATGACTTGTGGACTTCAACTCCCAGAATTCTTCAGCCAGCGTTGCCTGGCTGAGGAATTCTGGGAGCTGAAGTCCACAAGTCATAAAAGGGCCAAGTCTGAAGACCCCTGGTTTGGGTAATGAAACGTTTCCGAGGAAACACAGAAGCTCAGAGACATTTCCAGAGCTGGAGAGGAGGGAGGATCCTGATCCAGAGAAAAAGCAGTTCCAAAGGGAACTCCATCTCCCATCATCATCATCATCATCATCATCAAGTTGGGAGGGACCTTGGAGTTCATCTAGTCCAACCCCAGACTTAGAGGCAACTCTTCCCTTGTGCTAAAGTGGGATCTGCTTCTGGGGAACCAGGGATGAAAACGATCACAGAGTTGTGCTTGGAGGGGGAGGGAAGATTCCAGAAGCCCCCTGAAGTAGCCAATAGGAGTCGGGCTGATCCCAGCTTCTGCGCACATCAGCAACTATGTCATAAAGGATGTTTCTATGGGATCAAGAGGGAAAAGTCCACTTTCAAAGTAAAACAGCTAGGAAAATGTTTTGCTGTGTTGGGCTGGGGATGAGATACCATTTCATGAAGACAGAGGAGAAGAGAATTAACCACGGTTCAGGGCAAACGAGGAGTTAAGGTAAGTCTCGATCAGTGCTGTGAATAAATCCCCCCCCAAAAAAAATCTCATTAAATCTATACTATCTCAAGTGATATTTCTATGAAAATCAGGGTAATTGGTTTACAAATTGAGAAAAATAGGAAAGGAATATATTTATTATAATGTGGTATGTGAATAATAATGACATATCACAATAAAGAATAAGAATATCCTTAAAGGAATTTAAATTTATAATAAAAAAAACTGTGCATACATTAACCTTAATTCGACATGCGCTAGCCTGACATTAACTGAATTTTGGATCACATGAAACGCAACCTGGTATCAATTTACGATTCACATTAATCCAAATATTGGATCATTCAAAGTCACACTTCTCACCATCTACAATGTATGCGCTAAGTAACCTGTGGTCCAACAGTGTGATTTATCCCGAGGGTGTGATGTATCATCATCTCTGCCATTACAACCTGGTGCATTTTCATTCTGTACCTCATCCCGTTTTCTACAACTACCGGTATATCTCCAAATCTATTGATCGACAAAGATGCAGTAAAAATTAACAAAAATACCCAGCAACATATCTATTTCCTCTTTCCATTTAGTATAAATGTCCCTCATCTCCCACTTAATAATTAAACGTTCAACAATTAAACAGTATTGAAAACTATTAAGCCTCATTCTTCAGGCTTTTCAGTGGCCTGAAATGTTTTTTAAAAGTCCCACTCCAGAAGATTATGGACAGTTCCATGAAACCTTGAAAGTTTTACTTTACAACCTTAAAGGAGAATTTCCTGTCCCGGTTCAGATGACCCGGGTCTCTTGGAGGTCTCTTCCACTGGGAATACGAGAGGATGGAGGGCGGATAAGGGGGCGAAAGAGACCCCGAGAGGGCTTAAGTGGCATCTGTGACAACTTATGACTGGAAACCTCTTCACATTTGCCATCATAAGTCAAGGACTACTCGTACTCCACAAAATATTATCCACGCTCCCCAACACTCACAATGCTTTTCTCTTGTGTAATTATTCAAGTCTTGTTATTGTGTCGTGTTACTAGTGCTGCTGGTTTGTGAGCAAAGATTCTTACTCTCCAACATTTATACACTTTGGATTGATTATGTACTTACTCTCAGCGGTCTCTGGATGGGGGGGGGGGGAATTAAAGCAGAATTTGCCAGATAAACTCCTTTATCTGCCCCCCTGCATAGATCACCCACAGATGTTTCGGGGGGTCCTCCACCTCCATGCAAGCTTGTCACATTTAAGCAAACATAATTTCCAGGTTTCTTCTCTTCATGCAACATGCCCTTCCTCTCTGTTCCTCACAACTCAGCCAGAATTTCACCTCCCGTCTGGAATTCCTTCTTGTTCCCGTCACCCCGTTTTCTCTAAACCAGGGGTAGGCAACCTTGGCTCTTTTATGACTCGTGGACTTCAACTCCCAGAATTCCTGAGTCGGCCATGCTGAGGGGAAAGGGAGAGGTTTCCAAGCTGAGCCATGCTGGCTCAGGAATTCTGGGAGTTGAAATCCACGAATCATAAAAGAGCCAAGATTGCCGACCCCTGCTCTAAACCTTCAGTTCTTCTCCTCGACCCAAAAAAAGGTGTAGAAAAAATTAACAAAAACATCTGGGCGCCTCGACTTATGACTGTAGCAATTTATGACCGGAAGTGCATTCCCAGTTGTGGTCATAAGTCAAGGATTACCTGTAGCTTGCAAAACTCCACACACACTTGTGACTCTTTTGTGTAATTATTCTGGTCAGTTACTAATGCCGCTTTGTCAAGAAAACATCCTCACACCCCCAACATTTACAATCTTTCACTTCACTGTGTGCTGTGTGATGGGATTTGAGGTTCCTTGACTAGGAAAAACATTTTCTCCACGCCAAACAATTGTAGGTTTTCCCTTCTGAGACTGTGTAAAATTCCCGGCAAATTGCAAGGTGTTACTTTTCAAAAAAAAAATAAAAAATTCCAACATGGTTCACAACTGAAAAGATTTATCTCTGCTATGGACTTCCTGATGCATTTTTAGCTGAGATTGACAATGAAAAGGTTTCTCACACTCTGCACACTTGTAAGGCGACTCCCCTGTGTGACTTCAGGTCTGCTTGCGAAGTGCGGAAGGTTGTCCAAAACGTTCCCTACACTCCGGACATTTCTGTGGTTTTTCTCAAGTGTGGATTCGCTGATGTATCACAAGAGTATTTTTTTGAGAAAAACATTTATTGCACTCTGAGCATTTGTGGGGCTTCTCTCTTATGTGGATTCGGGCATGACGTCTATGGTGAGAGGAATCAGCAAATGTTCTCCCACAGTCTAAACATTTGTAATTTTTTTCCCCTGTGTGAGTTTTTACGTGACTTCTAAGGTGTGATGTGGTAGAAAAAAATTGCCCACATTCGATGCATTGATATGGCTTCTCCCCAGTGTGGGTTTTTTGATGTGCCAAAAGGTTTCCCTTCCGAGCAAAAGATTTTCCACATTCGAGGCATCCGTATAGCTTCTCCCCTGTGTGGGTTTTAAGATGTGTCCAAAGGTTTCCCTTTTGAGCGAAGGATTTCCCACATTCTACGCATCTGTATGGCTTCTCTCCTGTGTGGACCCTCTCATGCCTTCGAAGCTGGTATTTTTGGCTAAAACATTTTCCGCACTCCCCACAATTATAGGGTAGCTCCCCTTTGTGCCCCTTCTGGTGCCTCCAAAGATTAGAAGCATCCACAAATCGGGTCTCACATTCTGGGCATTCGTAGGGTCTCTCTCCAGTGTGAATTCTCTGATGTTGCACCAGGTGTGATTTCAAGGTAAAACATTTCCCACATTCGAGGCACTTTTCATTTTTCTCCCCCCTGTGTGTTTTCTCATGAGTCCGAAGAGATGAACTCTGGGTGAAACATTTCCCACACTCAAAGCATCTGTAAGGTCTTATTCCTGTATGAATCTTTTCATGAAGCCGAAGACTTCCATTGCTAGAAAAGCTCTTCGCACATTCCCAACACGTGTAAGGTTTCTCCCCTGTGTGAATCCTCTCGTGAATTCTGAGTTTTCCTCTTTGAAGGAAAGATTTTCCACATTCCAGACACGGATAAGGTTTCTCTCCAGTGTGGAGTTTCTGGTGTGTCAGACGGTGTGACTTTTGACCAAAGCATAAGTCGCATTCCTCACATTTATAGGGTTGTGGTCTGGGAGGTCTTCTGGGGTCTTTGGCGTCTTTTCCAGAGAAGGATTTCTCACTCTCCAAACCTTGACTGGATCCCCTTCCCACATGGACCTTCTTGTGAGCAAAGGATTTTCCACACTCTGAGCATTCATGCGTTTTTTTCTGTTTTTTCGGACTGCTGCCTGTGTCTGACGGGGGATCCAACAGTTTCCCAGGCTCCATCCTTTCTGGTGCTTTCTGCCTTGGGCTGAATTTCTACTATCTATTAATAGTTGTCTTGCAGGTAAATTTTTGGTCGCAGTTGTTCTCCTGCTGGAAAAAAGAATACAAAAAACACAAGAGAATCACAAAATCTTAGATTTGGAATGGACCTGGAAGGTCTTCCAGTCTCACCTCCTCTCCCAGGATGGGACACGGGTCCTCAGTACACCCGAGACAAAATCTCCAGTGATTTCTGTCACCCCACATGTGTAGGAGGCAAATTCTTCCGCTGTTCATTGACTCTAAACTTTTCTCCTTGGTTCTTGTCCGATGACAAGGTGAAAAAGAAGCTCTGAGTGTAGAGGTAGTCCCCAACTTATGACTAAAATTGGGACTGCAACCTCGGTCGTTCAGTGAAGCAGTGGTTAGATGAGTGGTCAGGCGACTGCTTCTCTCAACAACCGTAATCCCAAACACCTCTTTCCAGATATTAAGTGATCTTAATATTATTAATATTATATTAAATATTAAATATTTATTTGCTACCTCAGTGAAGCAGTGGTTAGATCAGTGGTCAGGCGACTGCTTCTCTCAACAACCGTAATCCCAAACTCCTCTTTCCAGATATTAAGTGATCTTAATATTATTAATATTATATTAAATATTAAATATTGATTTGCTACCTATATGTAGGGATGTGGGTCTATACCAGTGGTTCTCAACCTTTTTAATGCCGTGACCCCAACCGGTCGTAAGTTGAGGACTAAACCGGTTGTAAGTCGAGGACTAAACCGGTCGTAAGTCGAGGACTACCCAACCGGTCATAAGTCGAGGACTTTCCCTGCCCGGGAGCGCCGCGCATGCGTGGTTCCGCCCCCTGCGCCGGCCGAGGCATAGCTGGCAAGCGGCAGAGACGGAGCAGGCCGACCACCAGCTGGCCCAGCCCAAGGGAGGTAAGGCACCCGCCGGAAAAGGGGAAAAAAAATGGCGGACAGCCTTGCTTGGCGACCCCCCATGAAATGGTCGATCGACTCCAAATGGGGTCCCGACCCACAGGTTGAGAACCACTGGTCTATACATATGTTGTTCATAGTAAGTTTAGGTGTGAGTCATGTGTGTGTTTCACTTTGAGAGCGGGCAACTAAATTTCATTTTTGATGTGTGCCATTGTGCCCACAGTATAAAAATGACAATAAAGGTTATCTTATCTTATCTGAGTCCGCGAGGAGAAGGGCGGGATATAAATCCAAATATAAATAAAATATAAATAAAATAAAATAAAATCTTAAGTTGAGAAAGGCCCAGCCAAGGGACATGGTAGTGTCTCGGAGGTGTGTGTGTGTGTGTGGGGGGGGTTCCCTGGAGACCTGGAACAGGCCCCCCATGAGTTGGGGGTGCTAAAGTAGATGTAAAGCTGCAGCCACTCCTGGAAGTCTGAGTCACTCCAGCCTGGCCTTGCAAAGCAACCCCGATTGACAGCAATGCCTGGGCTGGGCCTTAAATGGAGGCCTGGGGCCTTCAACAGTTTCAGCCAGTGGCCACTAATCCCAGGACTGGACTTCAGCCCACTGTCACTGCTGCCACTTAGAAATGAGGCCTTAATCTCCAAAGTGGAGGCCTTTGCAGCCTTGCGCCATTCTCCAAGCCGCATGTTCCATACATGTTTCCAAGCAACATGTCCCAAAGCATCTCTAAGCTTCTCCAGGACCCCCTCAAGTCGCACGTGGCCTGTGCCAGGACTCACATGGCCTCTCCTGCCCACTTCAGACAACCCCACATTCCTTACCTGAGACTTCATCTGCTTAATGACAGGGGAAATCACAACCCACCACCTGGAGTACAGGATTGCAGTCACCGAGGCAAGCTCCCTTGTGACATTTTACTTAATGACTACTTTGCTCACCGACCAAGACTCCAGTGCCAACCGTGGTCGTAAATCCAGGACAAACTACGCGAAATGCCCAAAACTAAGGCATCGCATAAGCCAGTGGTTCTCAACCTGTGGGTCGGGACCCCATTTGGGGTCGATCGACCATTTCACGGGGGTCGCCAAGCAAGGCTGTCCGCCATTTTTTTTGTCCACCATTTTTTTTCCGCCATTTTTCCCCCTTTTCTGGCGGGTGCCTTACCTCCCTTGGGCTGGGCCAGCTGGGGGTCGGCCTGCTCCGTCTCTGCCGCTTGCCAGCTACGCCTCTGCCGGTTGGGCAGTCCTCGACTTACGACTGGTTTAGTCCTCGACTTACGACCGGTTTAGTCCTCGACTTACGACCGGTTGGGGTCGTGGCATTAAAAAGGTTGAGAACCACTGGCATAAGCAAAAGGGAAGGAAAGAGAGTTCAGGCTAGTGTATTCCTGATTGTTATCCCTTTTTCCTGCTTCTTCGGACTTTTTGCACTTATGAGCTCCATCCGATCACGACTTCTTGACCCTGGACACATTTTATATGTTTTATAAAATATTACAAAAGGGGAAAAAATAGATCCCGGAAATTGCAGACCAATCAGCCTGACATCAGTACCTGGGAAGATCCTGGAAAAGATAATCCAGAAAGCCCAGAAACAGAGAAATCTTACTAGAAGCCAACATGGGTATGTCAAAAAGAGATCATGCTTGACAAAACTTATTAAATTCCTTGACAAAGTGACTAAAATAGTGGAATAGCGAAATTCAGTGGGCTTCAGTAAGGCATGTGACAAAGCAGAGCACAGCACACTTCTTGGTAAGATAGAAAAATGTGGGATAGAAAAATGTTAGGGATCCATCCACCAGATGGATTCCTAACTGGCTGACCAATAGCACTCAGTGTGTTAGACCTCAGTGGAACTATATTATACCTTCATCCATCACCTTCGAAGCAAAGCCCAATTTTTCTACGTTGCCCATTTTTCCAATAAAAATAAAAAATGCTTATTTTCCAAACCAAGATTTAAGCAAGATTTGTTTACTCACCTTTAAAGTTGCAGCTAAGAGGTCTCTGGGTCACCTGTTCACCCTCTGAGTCCAGGCCAGGGATGACCCTCACTGCTGACCGGTTTGATTTCTCCTTAACCGATTGGCCCTTTGTGCAGGAAGCTGCTTATCAAACAAGATTTCCAAATTCTCTAGAATGGAGTCTGGGCCAAAAACTTGTGGGTCCCGATCCAAGAACGCCCCTTCTCCTCTGTGGAGATCATGGCCACATCCTCACTCATCTCCTGCAAAGAGAAATGGGACAGGCTCAGATGCCAACAGTGATACTGAACATATAATAATAATAATAAAGGTGGAAGGGATCTTGGAGGTCATCTAGTCTAATCTGGAAGAGAGATGGAACTGTTTGTTCACAATACAAAATAATGGATCTTGATAAGCCAAAATGGAAGAAACCAGCAAGATGAAGTCCAACAGGGACCAATGCAGAGTTGTGAGTAGGAAAACTCAATGGAATACGAGAGAGATCAGATGGGGCAGAGTATGAGTGTGGAAAGGGCTGCTCTTTTCTACTCTTGTTGGAGGCTGCAAGGCCAACAAAGATTCCAGGCAGGTGTTTCAAAAAATATTTACAATATTTCGTAAATATACAACACCAGCTTGTTCTAGTTGCTGCTCAGAAGACCCACTTCAAAACTTCCTTGGCGCTTTGTAAAACACCCACAGCCACATCACAGCCTCTTCTGAGCAAAAGAAGGAAAATATAAAGTTTAGAAAGTCTAACCCATCTTTTAAAAACAGGAGCCAAGGAAAGATTAGCATCAAAACGAAGGATGTTATCTTTCGCCTTTTAGAGAGAGCACAAAGAAAGAGGATCCCTTTTGTGGGCTAAGACAACAGGAACCCAATTAATTTAAACTTGTTTTTCTTTCCCCCAAACCCTCCCCTCCCCCTTGCAATGAAGTCAGGGTGTGTTAATACCAGATTGCAAATATCAATAAATGTTTCTTTACTCCATTTGTGCAGCCGCACTTGCGGGGTATGCATGCTCAGAGACCTCCTGCTCTGACCGACCACAGAGAGACCTTCTGGAGTAATTTCCCCAAAAGCTCCTTCCCGGATCCACCCGGAGCCCCGCGGGGATCCTTGGCCGGGCGAGGAGGGGGCAGATCCAGCCCGGGGAGGGAGGGACCCCCTTCGCCCCCCTGGAGGGAAGGGAGGGATCCACTCCCTGCAGGCGACGCCAGAGCCGAATCTCCCCAAGGAAAACCCGGGAAGCCGGAGAGGCGGATCCGCAGCTACCTTTCTCCTGGCGGGGGGGGGAAAGGATCTCCTGGCGGGAGGGGCGCCCCAAAGGCCGGAGGGGGAGCAGCCAGACCTGCCCCGAGCGGGACCCAGAAGCCTCTCCCGAGGGATCCGGCGCCGATCCTGCCACGGCGAAGCGAGACAGCCGGAAGAAAGCGGAGATCCACCGAGTGGGGGGGAGAGGCGGGGGGCGGGGCTTCCGCTCTCCTCTCGGCCACCGCTTTCCGCCCCGCCCCTCAGCGATCTCAGCTCCTCCCCCCTCCCTTCCCCTTTCCGCCTTCCCAGCTGGGACTCCCTGTTTCTCCGCCTCCGGGGTTCCTCTGCCCATGCGAAGAGTGCCCTGCAGTGCCCGGGCGGGGCTGCCTCCTGCTCCAGCATCTGGGTGGAAACTGAAGCTCCGCGATGGCTTTTGGGGGGGAGGCAGGAGGGACAGGAACCCCCCCCCCGTCCCTTCGAGGAGGGCTCCTCTCCGGCTGGGTCTTTGCGGAGCCCGACTGAGGACGGAGAGGGAGGGGCTGGCCGGGGTCCCTTCCCCGGGGGGGAGCCTCCCTGGGCGGGGGGGGAGATAGAGAAGCCGAGTCCCAAAACGCCTTTACCCCCCCCGCATCCCCCCCCTCTGCCTTTCCCAGCCTATGGATCCCTCCAGGTGATTTTTTTTGGGGGGGTGTGTCTCTACCTGCATCGCCTCCTCCACACCCGGGGCTGGATCTTGGCCCAAGTGCATTTTCTCCGCCTCTTCCCTCGCTTCCTCCAAACCATCATCCTCTCCTCTGGAGGGGCAGGGGGGTCACAAGAGACGCAGCCAG